AAGGCCGGGGTGAGCGGGCTGGAGCGGGAGGCTCTGGTCCTCAGCGAGCAGCAAGCCCGCAGGCTTTCAGAATGAGTCAGGGATCAGTCGCCAACAGCCCTACGTTCCAGCCCAGACCACACGGCCTGGTTCTGAGCCTCAGAGCAAACCACTTGGCAAGACGCCGCCTGAGAAATTTCAAATCCTGTGCAAATTTCTGCCTGTCCCACACCCCACCCGACCTCCAGCTCTGCCCTTTGCGAGCACTGCACCCCGCCTCCAGGCCCCGCACGGCCGTGCTCGCACGCGCACAGGTACCCCACCCCCAGCCCCAGCCCATGTATGCACACATGGGCACGTGCACCCCGCCTGCAGGCCCAGCACATACGTGCTCACATGTGCACACACACCACCTCCAGGGGCCTGCTGGGGGTTCTCTGCCTGCCTCTCTCTCTGCCCCTCCCCTGCTCACGCTGTCTCTCTCAAAAATAAATAAATGAGGGGCGCCTGGGCGGCTCGGTCGGTGAAGCGTCCGACTTCAGCTCAGGTCATGATCTCACGGTCCGTGAGTGTGAGCCCCGCGTCGGGCTCTGCGCTGACAGCTCGGAGCCCGGAGCCTGCTTCGGATTCTGTGTCTCCCTCTCTCTCTGCCCCTCCCCTGCTCATGCTCTGCCTGCTCATGTCTCAAAAATAAATGTTAAAAAAATTTTTTTAAAAATAATAAATAAATGAATTTTAAGAAATAAAGAACATGCCCCAGGAGGGCTTTTGGAGTAAGAAAAGCCAGCTTTCCCCCCTCCATTTAGTTTTGAGAGAGAGAGAGAGAGAGAGAGAGAATGGCAGAGGGGCAGAGAGAAAAGGGGACAGAGGATCTGAAGCGAGCCCTGCGCTGAGCAGCAAGCCCGATGCAGGGCTCGAACTCACGAACGGAGAGATCGTGACCTGAGCCGAAGTCAGACGCTTCACCGACCGAGTCCCCGGGGGAAGGTAAACCTGCAGCGAGTGAGGTTCTGGGGGGGGGGGGGCGAGAGAAGAGAGGCCCAGCTGCCTGGAGGAGAAGGTGGGCTTCGCAGGGAGGGGGCCGCAGGGAGGCAGAAGGGGCTGAGCAGCGAGAACAGAGGAGAGCCTTCCGGGCCCGAGGAAACCGTGTGTGAGCTCAGGCTGGGAGGCGGGACCCCCCCACCCCCACCCCCGACCCTGGGGCTGGGTTGGCCCTGCTCTTTCCCGACCTCCCCCGAGCCCGTTGCTACAAGGGACGAGTGGATGGCTTGTCTGGCGGCCGCCTGCACCGTCTTCTCCCACGTTCCTGGCAGGGTTGAGGAGCAGGTGCCTCAGCTGGAAGAAATTCTGTGTCTCTAAGATTTGGACACGGAAAACCACGACCTCCGCAAACACGTGCCCAGCCGGGGTGACGGGGATCTGTAGTCATCAGAAGACACCTCGGGAGCAGGTGCAGACAAGCCTTCTGTGTCCGGCTCAGGAAGTCATGTGTCCTGAGCAGTAGCTTGGTTCTCTTGGGGCGCAGCGTAGGGGCTGAAACCCACCCCTCGTCTGTCCCCAAATCACGAACCAAGTGGAGGGGGGCGTTCTCCCTAGAACGAAATGTTCTATACGGACACGCACAGGTCCCAAGGACCCCAGTCTGGGCTTAGGAGCTCTGTGTTTTAATCCCGCCATGGCTGCTGGTAGGTTCTGCCCCGACCACTTCCAGAGAACTGGTTCTCTTTCCCCATAGTCTTATGAAACAGGGTAGACGCAGCTGTTCAGGGGACGCTTGTCAGGTGCATCGTGTCAGGTGAATGACTCACGGGAGACCCCTGGGCCTGGCTTTGAGATTGTTCATCCCTTCTGAGCCTGGGTTTTCCCATCTGTGAAATGGCAGGTGACAGTCTGTGCTCTGACCTACTCACCAGGTTTGTTGTGAGGGTCTGACAGGTCACAAACATCCCGGGACTGTGAACACTCGGGACACGATGGTGTTCATATGAAAGGGTCAGGAGCGGAAGTCTGGGACCCACTTGGTCAACGACAGAATGAACACCAGGCTGCCTGGTGCAGCCCTGTTACATGGTCCCCAGGGTCCCCGCGAGGCCTGCCAGGAGACCCTGGTGGCCCATGTGGCCCAGCCACTGTTGACTTGCTGGGTGGGGGTCCCTTCCTCTTTCCAAGCCTCGGCTTCCATCTAGAAAATGGCAGGGGGAGACGGGATGATTCCAAATGTCCTTCAAGCCCCAACGGTTCCAACAGGACTCTGGTCCCATATACTTGGGTCTCTGAGGCAGGACTGTTTGGGACTCTTGGAACATCTGTGTCCTCGGCGAGGAGGTCACAATGGGGCTGAGGAATGTTCAGCAAAGTAGAATACGGTGCAATTGCATCCTGGCTGGATCGGCTTGGAAAGATTTAGCTCTAGGCACTAGACCGATAGTAACAACCAGGGCATGATGAAAATACGGAATTTAAAAAATCAAGTGTCTGTCAATGGAAGCTGTCTACTTCTCCTTTGGGATCAACCAGAGAAACAGAGCCTTGCTCCCACGTCAGAGAAAATGCTGACCATTATCACTGGGGCACCCTCTATGCCACAACCCTTCCTAGTGGGTGTTAACAGGCGATTTTGACTGTATGTGATTTTTACTCAAGATATCAGAGCCTAACCTCCCTGCAAGACTCAGTACTAGTGTAATATGCCAGGATTAAAAATTATTTCCAGTAACTAATGACACACTGAGGGTCCACATTGGATTAATTTCTTTTTTTTTTTTTTTAATTTTTTTTTCAACGTTTATTTATTTTTGGGACAGAGAGAGACAGAGCATGAACGGGGGAGGGGCAGAGAGAGAGGGAGACACAGAATCGGAAACAGGCTCCAGGCTCCGAGCCATCAGCCCAGAGCCCGGCGCGGGGCTCGAACTCCCGGACCGCGAGATCGTGACCTGGCTGAAGTCGGATGCCCAACCGACTGCGCCACCCAGGCGCCCCAATTTCTTTTTTTTTTTTTAGCTACAAAATACTATGTAGTATATGGGCCTTTTCCGTTCACGTGTGCCTATGATACAGAAGGACGTTTCTAAACACCCAGATGTTACAAGTGACTCCCTGCGTATTAGGGTTTAGGGTGATTTCCTGTCCCTCCTTCTTCACTGGTCTGCTTTTCGTCATGATTTTTATGCCTCTGGGATCAAAGTCGTTACGTCTCCAGTCGATCCAAGAAGCAGCTGGGGTAGAATCCCCACAGGGAGCAGAAGTATGGCAAAGGCTGGGGGCGGAGGCCCATGTGACCTTGCCCACTCTCTGAACTGCTCACAAATGTTGGAGCTATTTGGGGCCTGTGATGTCACCCGGCAGGCCAGACCATGGCTGTGGTTATGATGTCATCCACTGTCTGGCCGGGTGGCTCCGGGGCCAGTGAAGTCACTGGGGATGGAGAGCCCCTGGAGAGCCCCTCGGCCCCTGCACAGGGAGACACGTCCTCTGGACGCAGTCCACAGGGATGTGCCAAGAAAGCTCGAGAAGCTCTAACTCTGCAGATGGGGCAGCTGGCTAAGCCTGGAGGCATGAGGGGATATTTTTGGCCTTCCGCCTACGCCCTCCTGGAGGCTGGAACATCCAGAAGCACCTCCAGTCCTGCCCGGCCTGCTCACCCCTGCCCTCCACCACTGACAGGACAGGGCCCATACCATAACTGTGCCTCCTCGACTCTGTAGATTTTCTTTCTTCTTCTTCTTTTTTTAAGTTTATTTCTTTATTTTGAGAGGCACAGAGACAGTGTGAGTGGGGAAGGGGCAGAGAGAGAGAGAGAGAGAGAAAATCCAAAGCAATCCAAAGCTCCTCTAAGAGGAGCCCAACCTCATGGGTTCATGGGGCTTGAACCCATGAACCATGAGGTGCGATCATGACCTGAGCCAAAACTCAGAGTGAGACACTTAACCAACTGAGCCACCCGGGTGCCCCAGATCTTCAAGATCAATTTTGACTATTTTCTACTACCCTTGGCATGCTGGCCCCCCACTTTGCCTCCCGACGGGCCGGCCCTCTGCCTGATGGCCACCCCCGCTGCCCCTGCATGGTTAACGTCAACCCATCCCTCAAAGAGCTGGCTCCCCACTCACCCCTTTCTGGGACTGCACCGAGGTAGTGTGGCCGGACTCCTGCGGCTGAGCCCCAAGTCAGACTTCTAGGTCCGAGTCCCTTCTACAGGGTGCGACCCCGTGCAGGATTTCTCATGCCTCTGGATTTGGTAGAGGAGATGTTTCAGCCATCACTTCACGCGGGAAGGAAATGAGGACTTTTCCGAGCAGCGCACGTTAAGGCCTGGCAAGTTCAGCCTCCGTCAGTGTTACCGTTCATGGCGGACAACGTTCCCTGCAGAGCCTCCTTCCAGACATCTCTGAGCCCCTGGAAACTTGCGTCCGTCCTTCCAACTTGTCTTTCCCGTCAGTAAGAGGGGGTAGCAATAGTTCTTAAGTCGGGACAGGTATCTAATCTGAAAACTGGGAATGAACTCAGAAAGAAACGTTCGGCTGGCCTGCCTTCTGGCCCAGACACCCCGGAGACCTTTAAAGAGGAAGTCGCTGGCCCAGCTGACCGAGTTGACCATTTCTCTGTCTAGACCACCATGCACCCAAAGCTCTGGTCCAGTCTCAGCGCCTGTGAGCAGAAGAGAGGTGAGGAAGGACAAAAATGGCAGCTGCTGTGTTTAGGGTGTGGATTCTCACCCCGGTGCTTGGGTAGGAGATATCCAAGTTCAAGGTGGAGGAAGCCACAAGCTCCCTCTCCAGTAAGGTTTGCTCCACCTGCTCCCCCGTCCTCACCACTCCTCCTGTGACCGTCAAATAGCTGCGAGGCGTTACACAACCGTGAGGAGACACCATCGGTGGGAAGGAACGTAGGACGTTGGTACAACACGGGGCTTATGGAATCTTGGAGGCAAAATCATGACTTTGTTTGGAACATAAGTAGACTCCCAGCCCATGGATATGTTTAGTCCCGGGGAAAGTCCCCCAAGATCTTCCCAGCCAAAATGTTTTCGTTTTAATTTACCCTGATGGGCCGCCTAGGGGCCAAGGCCTAATGGCTAATGGGGCTGGGTGACCACACAGTAAGAGCTCTTGATGTTTAGGGACGAGAGGAACGTGGGAACCACTAGCCTGGTGTCCAGCTCTCAGTTGACGTTTGCAAATGGTGATGAAGGGGACACTTCCGGCACGCTTGGTGAATGTACATATTAGCCAAAGGGCTTGGTAGGTCAGCGTCCATACTCTGGAGGCTCAGGGTATTGGTTGTCTATTTCTGGTGTAACAAAGTGCCTGAAAATAAGACAAACATTCGATCACAGTCTCTATGGGTCAGGACTGAGGTCCCATTTCCTTGCCGGCTGTCAGCTGGGGGCTGTCCTTAGCTCCAAGGGGCCTCTGTCTGGCCCTTGGATGCAGACCCTCCACATCTCGGAGTCAGCAAGAGCATGACGAATCCTTCCTCTGCTTTGAACCTCCATGCCCTCCCCTTCCGCCGCATCCCTTCTGCCTCTGGCCAGCGAAGGTTCTCTGCTTTTAAGGGACCGTGTGATTAGATCGGGCCCCGAGTAACCACTCTAGAAATCGTCCTCTATTAGGGTCCCTGACCTTACTCTTACCTGCCAAGTCCCTTTCGGTCATGTAACAACCTATCCATAGGTTCCAGGCAGGTGTCAGGGCACAGACGTCATTGCAGGGCCATGGCACAGTCTACCACACCCCACAGTGACTTCTGTCCCACAGTGAGAATGCCGTCGGTGATTCTGACAGACTCCAAGCTGGGGAAATCGGAGCTCTCCTCCGTTCTTTAAAAGAGCATTCCTCGGGGCGCCTGGGTGGCGCAGTCGGTTAAGCGTCCGACTTCAGCCAGGTCACGATCTCGCGGTCCGTGAGTTCAAGCCCCGCGTCGGGCTCTGGGCTGACGGCTCGGAGCCTGGAGCCTGTTTCCGATTCTGTGTCTCCCTCTCTCTCTGCCCCTCGCCCGTTCATGCTCTCTCTCTCTGTCCCAAAAATAAATAAAAACGTTGAAAAAAATTTTTTTAAAAAAATAAAATAAAATAAAAAAGCATTCCTCGAGCACTCGCTGCGTGGCAGCAACTTTCCCAAGTGCTCGGGATGCAAAATGGACATAATCCACTAAGAGAAAAGGGAAAGAGGAGGAAGAGAAAGAGAAACTACTTCTGTTGCACGTCTACGATGTGTCAGATGCACTTCCTGCGTCTTCTCTAACGTTCAAGGGCATCCCACCGTACAGATGAGAAAACTGGGGTTCAGGGGTTCAATAACTTGCCCAAGGTCATCCAAATCATCTGCTGCGCAGTCGAAACTCACACCCTCTTTCCCCTCTGCTCCTCCTGGTTTGAGACATTCAGGACATGCCAGTCCACAGAGGGGAACACAATGCTTTTGGGGACCAAGCGTTGGACCCTCCCACCAGGGGTCACTTCCCTCTTCCCCCAGAGGGCGAGGGATCCCTGGGGGTTTCCTGAGGCAGCCGGAGGGGAAGCTGGCTGACCTGTGGTCCCTGACCTGGACGTCCAGAGTTCTTCTGCAGAAGCCAGGAAGACCATGGTGATAGGCGGTCTCTGGGCCCTGAAGTCTCCTCTGGCCGAATTTACATGTTCTTGACTGTCCAGGTGCACTCCTTCCTCTTTTTAATGACCCAGTGTATTTATAGCTCATCCTTCAAAGGGTAATGAGCTGTGGGCTTCAGTCTTCAGACTTGTAGAGAACTGGGAACAAATCAGGTGCTTAATACACACTGTCGAGCAGAGTTAAGAAGGGCCATGGCAGAGAGCCAGAAACGTCTAAGTAAGAGGCACTGCATCACAAGAGAACTTCACCTCTGGGACGATTACTGCTCTCAGTCATGACGATTCACCTCTTGGAGAGTTACAGCGTGCCCAGTGCTTTCCTGTGCCATCCATGGATGTCGATTTATTTATTCCTCACAGCACCCTGGAGGGGTGTCGATAGAGGCATTTCATCCCTAACTCAGGAGGTGCTCAGAGATGTTAAGTAACTGGCCCCGAGACCCAACACTGGCCAGGTGCAGGCTACAGGTTCAAAAGCAGGCGTGGCCTCTGCCAGATCACAGCCATGGCCCTCCCCCTGGCCACACAGAGAGGCCAGCAAGGCCTCTGAGTCCAGCCATGATTTTATTGCAGCCCACATCAGCTCTGCGGTGGGCTTTTTCTTCTCCTGTTTTACAGGCAAAGAACTTCAGAAGGGCCCAGGCCCGCGTTTAGGAGGGACACCGGAAGGAGGAAGGAACAATGGTTTTGGAACCTGAGGCTGAGTGCTGGCATTCCCATGCTGTGTCGTCTCGCTGTGGGACCCCGTTGGTCCAGACACCTGCGTTGGTGACGGAGGTCACACTTGCCGCCATTAGGTGGCAAGTCTCTGCCTATAGTGTGTGGGGGAGAAATTTCTCCTTATTCGTCCCTGTTGGCTGTTTCTTCTGCCCACAGCCCCGTTCCCCCAGCTCTACTGTGGCTGGCTTCAGCTGATCTGCCATCTCCTCATGAGGGGGACCAGAGTGCCCCTTCTTTCTCATCACCCTCACCTCTGGCCTTGCACACAACTGGACTCCAAGACGTTGCTGACGGCTGGGTGAGGGCGGGGGACGAAGGAGGCGAGTTTAATTGAGGGAGGGAAGACCTAATGAGCTCCAGTTCGAATACGAAGGGAAAAAGAGGATGAGGGGACGCGAGCATCGCCATAGGAAAGACCCACATAAGGCCTTAGACAGACACTGGGGGCCCATCTCCCCTTACCGAGCAGACCCCATCTCAGGCCAGCAGGCGCTTGGGTAGAGACGCCTGTTGGTCATGGCCCCATGCCTGCTGCTGGTCACCTCCCTTGCCTATTTCCTTATTGTGACCATCACTCACTTTCCAACCTTGGAAAGGCCCAGAATATCGGTCTCACATGGGCACAATTGGGACGGCGTGCCGGGCACAGTAGTAGACTCAGTGGTCTTGCTCTGGGGGGGGGGGGGGGGGGTGGAAAGTTGAGCGCCTGGTCAGGCGGTGTGGAGGCAGGTCCATGGAAAGAGAGGAGGGTGGGCAGGGCCCCAGGAGGCTTGGAAGGACAGGGGACGAATGGGCATGACCGAGGCAGCTTCTGAACATGTGGAAGCTTGCCAGATGTGGTCACACCCTCAGGGCCCCCGTATGATTGCTGGGAATAGGTTCTGCCTTTGCTCATGCAGTGGGCGTGTCTAGAACGCCATCCCCACACGCCTAAGCTTAGTTTTGCTTGTCCTTTGTACCCAGCTGGGGCTCACCTTTTGGAGCACATCCTCTGGTTTGACTTAGGCGCCCCTCACGGCTCCTGGGACCTCCGCTTTCTCCCCGCCCACTGCTCTGTGACCAGCTCCTCCCTTGTCTGAACGTGATTATCTGTCTTTGTGCCTCAGCACTGAGCCGAGGGCCCGGCCCGAAGTGGGGAATGAGCTGGACAGCATCTATATTGGCAAAGAAAGCCTGTTCTCATTAGTGCTCACCAATCTCTAGTTATGCGGGCCATTCACTTCTCTTGCGTCACAGGAACCTCACGCAATGCTAGGAGAGCAATGAGTTGTCCAGATTTTCCAGTCGAAGCTAATGCCCTGATTGGTGCAGGGGTTTATTCTGGGTCATCCAGTCGCTGAGCGGCTGAGTTGGAACGCAAACTTCTGTCTGACTCCCAAGCCCAAATACTTTTCCTCTATCTCGAAAACCTGAAGGTGGTGCTTCCCAAACCTGGCTGAGAGTCACTAAGTAAGGGCGGTGTAAAAACATACGGATTCCTTGAAGATAAGGTGAACAGCGTAGGGTTCAAGGGCGACAGAGGGAGAGAAGAAAGGGAGGGAGAGAGAGCGCAATTATGAGTGCTGGATACAATGAGAGGCTCCACCATGCCATTATGGTCTAAACAGAGAATGCTCTAAAACACTGCACGGTTTTGAGCAACCAGTGAAGTATCATGCAGGAGAATCTCTCTGATCGGGAGGCTAGAAATGTGGCTAGAGGGATGGCCTGGGGTTACATCACAAGCCAAGAGTGCGGGGAGTATAATCCTAGCATACTGCCTGGCCTGTGATATGTGTGTGTGTGTGTGTGTGTGTGTGTGTGTGTGTATTAATTAAAATATATAAAACATATAAAATAAATATATATTTAATGTAAATATATTTAATGTAAATATATTTATATATTACATATATGTAAACTCTTAATATGGTAAATGAAGTTAACAGGCTTTCAATTGTAGGAATTACCCCATAGAACAAAGCATGGAAGGTTCTTTCGCATGAAGGTGCAGGACCAACTAAACCCAAGGACAAGGACAGTAAAACCACAGAGGAAAAGAAGGGGAGGTTTAAGGATGCCAACAGGCTCAACTTTGAAGGTGCCAGGGAGGGACTGTTGGGACACGGATGGAATAAGGAAGAGGCACTGTGAAGAACTGCCAAATTCGCCGAAAGAAGAAATAAGTATACTCTCATCCTGCCTTTGGAGATGTGGGGGGAGAGGCTGGGTGGCATTGAGGGAGCAGAACCGTCCTCTTGTCTCAGCAGGAAATCAACAGGTCTGGGGTGAAGGTGATAAATCATGGAAACAGGTGAACTCACCAATCCAGAGTCATGGGGGTGACCGGGTGGAGGTAAAAACTCTGACAACTCTTGCAGAGGGGATGACGGCAGGTGGGGGACACGGGGCGGTAATTCCTTAGGTACAGGTATTGTTTATTTGAAAGTCTAATTACTGAACCCTGCCTTAGACCTATGCATTCTGAAAAGATTGGAAACAGGAATCTCTGATTTTCATGTGCTCGTAACTGTCTTGGAACCACTGCCTGAGGGTCTTGCATGGCCTGCCTGGGAGGAGCTGTTCTTGTCTTCCTAGCTCGCGTGGGGACCGTGGGGGAGGCCCTGAGCTCTGGACACTCAGCTGCCTCTGTGCAGGGGCTTGGGAGGTGGAGGGCCGTGCAGGCACATGTTACAACTTCCCTTCGAGGAAGTCGTTTAGCCTTCTCTCTTCCTTTAGGTTAGCTTCCAGCTCAAGAGGAAGTTGATTCAGACCGATGACTGGGTTTACAGCGAATTTCTTCACTTCCTTTCTTGATTCCTCTCTTACTGATCCTTAAGGTCACTCTGTGTGAAATGGTGCCCTGCTCACCTCCTGACTTTTCAGTGACCCTTGCTTTTTGGGGTGAGGTCCCGTGGCCTTCCCGATCTTTGCGGAGGGGGTGTCCTCTGGGCTGCCCTGGTTTACCTCAGGCTGGCCCGTCCCATCTGGGGATAGACAAGGACTTCCAGAGAGATCTCTGCGGTGTAGGAGAAAGGGCTGGAGCCTGGGGCCGCCATTCTGAAACCAGCACTGACAGGGGCTGGCCGTGGGAGCCTGGGATGCACATCTCCTCTCTCTGGCTCACTTCATCGGGGTGTGGGCTCGGGTCCCCTGCAGCTCAGTCTGACGGTTGCGCGTTGTCTTTTTAGCTACTCTTCTCTGTGAGCTGCTTCAGGGCAGGGACCCAGATGGCCTGGCCTTTGGATCCCTCAGATTTTCCACCCATAGCTTTCTCCTGGACTGGCCTTTAGTGGGCGCACTGAATGGACTGTTAACTATAAGGACTTATGAACACCGCCTCACTGTTTTCCGTTCACACACATGAGTGCCCTCAATCTGCAGGGCGGATTCGCAAAGCAGGCATTATCATTGTAACAGGATGTTAAGGTGGGATGTTTTCTAGCTCAGTTTTCAAAGGCTGAGGGCAAATAGTAGGTAGTATCCCGTGCTAGACCGTCGTGCAAGGCTGACCAAGGGGGCGGCCCCATCTGGCTCCACCCACATGAGACCATCACCCCCTCCAACCATGTTAAAGAAAGAGAACGACCTATTTTCCGGGCCAATGATGGAGGGTTTGGGGTTTTGTGAGTAGCCTGGAGTGGACTTTTTATTATCAGGAAAACAGTGAGCTCTGCCTGAGGTTTGGTCCAAGGGCAGGATAAAATCCACCTCTGGTGAGGGATAACAAAATACCGGTTTTCTATGGATGCTGGAACAAATTGTCACAAATGTATGGATTTCAAACGATACAAAATTACTATCTCACGGTTCTGTAGATCAGAAATCCGACACAAAGCTCAGTGGGCTAAAATCAAGCTGTCCGCAGGCCGCATTCCTTTATAGAAGACGTAGGGGAGAATCCATTCCTTTGCTTTTTTTCCAGCTTCTAGGGGCCACTCAACCCCTTCCTCCAACTCCAGAAATGTTGGGCTGAGGCCATCTCACGCTGCTGTCTCTCACCTCCCATCTCTTGCCTCCCTCCCCTACTTTTGAGGACCCCCCCCCCGTGCAATTGTTAGTACATTGTTGTCACATTGGGCTCACCTGGGTAATCACTCGCCCCATCTTAAGGTCAGCTGATCGGCAATCTTAACTCTAACTCTGACCTAATGCCTTCTTGTTGTGTAGCCTTAGACCTCCACGGGGTCTACGAATTGGGGAGGCACATTATTCTGCCTCCCACAAGTGGGGAGTAATAGGCAGAAATAAAAGTGCTTCCACCATGCACCTCGCTAAGCATTGCTCATCCCGTAAACTTCATGGAATCCATTCTACAGGTAAGGAAAATAAAGGTCAGAGAAGTTAAGAGTAGGGTCCATTCTTTTTAAATTTTTATTCCAAGCCCTTGGGTCGAGGGCCGACTTTAAGAGTAGGGTTCATTCTTTTTTTTTTTTTTTTAATTTTTTTTGAATATTTATTTTTGAGAGAGAGCCAGAATGCGAGTGGGTTAGGGGCGGAGAGAGAGGGAGACACAGAAGCAGAAGCAGGCTCCAGGCTCCGAGCTGTCAGCACAGAGCCCGATGCGGGGCTCGAACTCATGAGCTGTGAGATTATGACCCGAGCCGCAGTCCGACGCTCAACTGGCTAAGCCACCCAGGCGCCCCAGAGTAGAGTCCATTCTTGACCATGCCTTGGAATTCCCTGATGCCTTGCCCCCACCCACTTCCTCTTCCAGGGTTCTGATCTAACTGATCTGGGATGTGGGATTGGGATTGGGATTTTGTAAAAGGCGTCAGATGATTCTAGCCAATGGCCAAGGCTGGGAACCACTGGGCTAAAGGAATTATTCCAAGTCATTCTGCTACTGTGAACACCTGGCAGAGCATGGGACCATGCCCAGGTCTATCTTATTTCGAAGCCCCCACTAAGGTGTTGGTGGCTGAGGAAACTCCCAGGCTTCTACCCAGTAAGTATCTCGCCATTCATCTCTGCCAACTGCACTCCAGCTTTGTTGACACAGCGGTATCTCCTACTCTAGGGAATAAGTCGTGTTTGTCTCATCAGGTCATGGTAAGCCCATTCCCTATTGTCAGTGATTGGTCTACAAGTGGGGACACAACTCCATGATGGCCAAGGAGACGTAAAGGGAATTTTGCTGGGAATTTCTGGGGAAGAAATTTTTCCAAGAAAGGAAAAAGACACCTGAAGGGAAGGCCCTTTATACCATGCCTTGCTTTCTTCCAGCACGGATGCCGTCAAGAGCAAATGTGATGTCTGGAACTGTGGCAGCCATACTGCGGCAGTGAAGTGAGACGTCATCCATGTGCTGAAGACAGCAGAGAGGAGAGCTGGAAAGAGTCTGGGACCTTGACCAATGCTAGGACTACCCCCCTCCCGCAGTATCCTTTGGTTAAGGCACTTCCGTTGGGTGTTCGGTTCTGGCACTGAACTACCCTAACTGATCGATCCTCTAAGCAGCTTAGAGGTTACCTGAGGTCCTCAGTGCTTTCAGGAGGGTTTTGCACAACACACAATGTCACTGTAAACGTATCTGAAGTCTAGAGAGTGCAAGGAAATAGAGAAACCGGAAGACCTGAGTTGAACTCTGATTGTCCACCTTCTCCCCTGTATGAAATTAGGCACACCACAACCCTTCCTGAGACTCCCCTTCTACATCTGCAAAATGGGGGTGATGGTCCCAACATATGAATCAATAGTGTGTCTGGTCTATGCCCCAATGAGATGGATGTACATAAACATAGGACGTACCACATAAATGACAGAGACTGCTAACCAGCTCCATTTGCTTTTACTTTGGGTTAATTCTCTCTCTCTTGCTTTGTCTCCCTGTCTCTGTCTCTCTGGAGTGTGTGTGTGTGTGTGTGTGTGTGTGTGTGTGTGATTGAGAGAGAAGACAGATTTAAACAGATTTGCCTTCATAAGTGTGTCCTTTAGGGGGGTAAGTGATAAAATCTGTTGCTTATCTGGGAACCCAAAGCAACCATAATTGGGGTAATAATTCATCTCCTTTCCTCTAACCCTGCTCACATTCAGTCAAGTCCTATCAATTCTGCTTCCTAAAAGGGTTCTCAGATCTCTGTCTTCCCCCATTTCTACCCTCACGGCCTTAATTCAAGGTTTATTTATTTTTGTGACAGAGAGAGACAGAGCATGAACGGGGGAAGGGCAGAGAGAGAGGGAGACACAGAATCGGAAACAGGCTCCGGGCTCTGAGCCATCAGCCCAGAGTCTGACGCGGGGCTCGAACTCACGGACCGCGAGATCGTGACCTGGCTGAAGTCGGACGCTTAACCGACTGCGCCACCCAGGTGCCCCTCACGGCCTTAATTCAGACCTCGTTGTCTCTTGCTTAGGATATTACACCAGCCCAGCTGGTCTTCCGTCTCCATTCTGGAACCTTCACAAGAGAATTCTAACGTGCGGGTGGGACTGTATGACTCTGGAGCCCACCCTCGATGCAATCTCCTTTCTTGTGTTACTCTCAACACCTGTTTACCTGTCCTTTTCTCCATCCAGAGGGCAGGATCCCTGCCTCCCTGGCAAATCAGCACGGGGCCTGGGGGAGAGAGAATGTTCCACAAATATTGGCTGGAAGGAAGTGGCAGCCTGGGATTCAAGCCTCAGGAAGATCATGTGGTTTGTCGTCCCCCAAGGATTGTCTTAAAGAAACACATCCGAGTCACCCATGCGTCACTGCATGTAGACATTTTATTGAAAGTTAGTGGCTATTTTAGAGAATAAGATGCCCTTGGTGGCAGCCTGAGGTGGGGTTGGCAGACTGGGCAGGGGCGTCTTAGCAGCTACAGCTACTTGCTGTAGCTCTTGGAGCCTGGCTCTCCTGTCGGCGGGTCCTCCGCGTCACTCTCTGCTGATGGACCCTGCTTGGCTTCGTCTGAAACAGGAGAGGCAAGGTTGGTCCAGTCCAATCAGGTCTTCCCCCCATGTCTTCCCCCTTGGCCCTAAGAGAGCCCAGCCTCTGACGGGCCTTCCCAATGATTGCTCAACAGCGGAGCATTTCCAGGGGACGGACATCAGATTCGCCACCATCGGTCATGCTAAGGGTACAATGGGACTTAGGTTCAACAGAGAGCCACTTGGCCTTGGAGGCTATTATAGTGTTAGCCGTCTAAAGCATGTTGGGCAAGGTCCCTTCCCTGCTGAATGTTCCACTCCCATCTCTTGCCACATGAAGAAATCCTGCCGTTCTAAAAACCTTCAGCCCCACCATCACCTCCCCAGGAAGCCTTCCCAGACCCTCCCTCCACTAGGCTCCCACTGGCTTGGGTGCACACCTCCATCGTGGTGCTGGGAAAGCCAAGGGGCCATTTGCTGGATTACATCACTCACTCCCCCACTCTCCCGGAAGCTTCTTAAAGGCATTGCACTTATTTCTGTATTCCCAGGGCCCTCGTTATGATTCATTTTCTCTCCTTAATGCCTGCTCAACAGGAAGTTCTCTTTAGCAGGAAGAAGTGGTAATGCCCACTTCTCCCCTGGCTAGAAATCCCACACCCAGGCCCCGGGTGTCCTCGCCCTGTCTCTCTCTCTCTCTCTCTCTCTCTCTCTCTCTCTCTGTATCTCTAACTTTCCCTTCTTGTCCCCATCAGAACAGAAGAACCCCCAGTACTGTGAGCTCTTCATGAAAAAATGCTGAGCCGATGGCACCCTATGATTCACTGGCCCCAGAGAGCTCCACCCACGTCTGCCACCCAGCGAGCTCAGTAAATGCAGGGGCTTAACAACCCGTCCGCCCTCTGCCCAGCCCCCATCTGCCCTCTGCCCAGCCCCCTGCCCGCTCCAGCCTCCCCACCTGCCGTGGCCTTCAGAGACTGGATGTACTTGGACCAGAAGGAGCAGTCAGTGCTTTTCAGGCCCTGTCGATTGGGAAGCAGGTCACTGAACTCCTTGTAGGTCTCCCCGCCGGCACGTGGGACAAAGTCAGGCCAGGGGGTGGCAAATTCAGGGGCTTTCCTTGAGAACTCATGTGGGTAGTTGGGATTTCTGGGAAAATGACAAGAAAGGAACATCCACGAGGGAAACGTGTCATTCCTTTTGTCACTTGGGATCACTTTCCAGTTGCACTCAGTGTCTAAGGACCAGACCACACATCTTTAGGTGTCAAGGCAGAGTCTGAATCGGCCCGATCTGATGTTTAGCGCTGTGCTCTCCCGCCGCATTCCAAATGATTAAAGGCAGAAAGGCCCCTGACTCACCTCACCCATCTCGGGCCATTTCTGGAAAAGGAAAGGTGCGAGTTCATGACCCAGCAACATTACTCAGGACCTCACGTTACCCTCCTGTCTTTCTGAATGCTCACTTGGTCACCGTGTCCCCTTGGATCCTGGCGTCCTTGTATCTGGACACCACAACCAATCTCTAGGGGCCCTTTGTCCAAGGCCTGGGCGGGGGGGGGGGGGGCCAGCCAGGCAAAGTTGTCTGCCACTTGTGAGCCACCTTCCCTACGAAGGGGATGTCATATCCTCTTACACTCAGGCACCTTCCCACACCTGCCACCAGGTCTGACCTCCTGACATTCCCCAAACAAGGTGTTTCTCATCCCTTCGACCTGAGGGTGCCTTCTTTGGGCTGGCATCCTGTGTCTGAACATCCTGCGAGTCTTCCAGGCCCCACTCCACTGTCAGGTCTCCAGCCATACATTTTCTAAATCTGAATTGAAAGAACTGTCTTTCCGCTCAACTCCTACAACAAACTATACAAAGTTCAACTTTGCCCTTTTAATTCGGTCGGGCTTTAGGGTTCAGACTGCGCGCGGTTTACGGATGAAACCTGACTTTTTCCCCCTTTCCCTTCCCAGGGGCCTGAGTACCATGCTGGGTGGCCAGAGCATGTCTGGCCAGGACACAAAGGTGTGGGGGGGGGAACCAGTTTTGGAAGTGGGGACAGTGGGCACGGTACTTGGGCTAGAACAGAGGGGTGCGGGGATGCGAGGGTCGATAAGGAAGGGTCTTGAATATTTTAACTGAATTTGAGAATCTAAGACAGTGCTTCTCAACTGGGGGTGACTATGTATTCCAGGAGACATTTGGCACTGAGCTATTTTGTTCTCATGCCTGGGGGGAGGGGTTACCGTCCTCTCGCGGTGGGAGACCAGAGAAGGTGCTGACTAGCCAGCAATGCACAGGACACCCTCACCACGAAGACTTATCCTGCCCCAGCGTCCATAGCACTGAGCTCCGGGAACCCTGATCTCGAGGCATCACACACGGCTGAATAAGGGAGCGCGTGACTGGAGCGTCCCTTCACCGAGGTTAATCTACACAGAGGTAGCTTTGGCTAGAAGAGGGGGACTGAGACAGGGAGCCCAGTGGCAGGTGACCACAAAGGCTGGGGGGTGGGGTAGAGGCAGTCCACTAATGCAAAGTGTTCAAAGGGAGGGAGGGAGGCGTGATGGCAGAAGCAGGCACATGTCGCCCACTCACCCAGATCGGATGAAGTTGGACAAGAATTGCATGATTTTCAGCGAAAGGCTTTTCTCCTCCAGAGTAAACTGCCCCTCGTAGATAGGGTGGAAGGGAAGGCCGAAGGCATACTGAACATCTGCCAGCAACTCCAGGCTGAGAAAACACACGGAAATAAGAAGAAGCAACAGTTAAAGGAATCGTAAACTTCTGGAAAAGCCAAACAACCCGAAAACCAACATTCCTCCCCAAATGAAGACTTTTCTTTGTTTACGTGTAGGATTCCGTGCTTGGTTTGTTTAGTTAAGATTTGGTTTGGCCTTTAGTCCAATGGCGGCCCACATCTGTTGGCTGAAGTGGACCCAAAGCTGAGCGATCACCTCTCTGGAAACAATGCCCATGAGCAGCTTTCCAAGAGAATACTCTTTGGACCGTATTCCAACCATGACGTTTGCAATGTCAATGGAACATTCGTTTGTTCAAAATAGCCTGTAGGAGCACCTGGGTGGCTCAGTCGGTTAAGCAGCCGACTTCGGCTCAGGTCATGATCTCACGGTTTGTGGGTTCGAGCCCCACATCGGGCTCTATGCTGACAGTTCAGAGCCTGGAGTCTGCTTTGGATTCTGTGTCTCCCTCTCTCCCTGCCCCTCCCCCACTCATGCTGTGTCGCTCTCTCTCCCAAAAATAAATATTAAAAAATAGTCTGTAATTTGAGTCCCTTCTTTGTGTTAGCCCTTGTTCATACGACTTATACTTGCACACCTTTTCAAGGATGACGTTCATCCATATAGCCTAGACCAGTGCCTGACACACCATTGCTGGCTGGTCAATAAATATATACTATGACTGAATTGAACATCTAATAAGCAGCATGCAGGAGAGAATAAGGATTTAGAGGCCAGATGAGACGTTTGAGTGGACTGGGCTGGGGCTGGCCTTGGGGAGACCAGCTCAGGGGTACTCGGGGCCATGGGGGTGAACCCTGGGAGAGTGTCACGGTGAAAAAGCTAGAAGGGACTTCACAACTGTGTAGTAAAGAACTTGACTTTCCCCAAAGAGAAGTCTGGCCTTTGTGCCCTGTGATCATACCTCTCTTTAGGGCAGAGGCTGATTGCACTGGATTTTCCATAAACGTGGTCACACTTGACAGTCTTAGGGTGGAGACAGGTCATGCCAAAAGACCATGTGACTTAGGGTGGGGGATATAGGCCACATGGTATCAGTGGAGCCTGAGATCAACCATAGGCAGTCAATCAATCAATCAATCAATCAATCATGCCTATGTAACTGGGCTCTAATAAAACCTCTGAACACCAAGTTTGGGTGAGCCTCTCTGGTTGGTGCTACCTTGTGGGCATTGTCACACATCAGGAGAGTGACCCTTCCTGACTCCACAAATACAGGACTGTGGGGGCTCTGCATTGGAACGCTCCTGGGCTCTTCCTTTGTCTGGTCTGAATTCACTTCTTTCCCTGTATGATGTAACCATGATTCTAGCAGTTTTCAGTGAGGTCTGTGAGTCTTTCTAGAGAATAATCAAGCCTGAGGGTGGTTTGGGGAGGCCCTTGAATTTGCACTTAGTGTCAGAGGTAAGCATGGTCTTGTGTGGAGACTGTACTCTCTAACCTTGTAGTCGGCCACAGATTATCACAAGAGCCAATTCTAATTCTACAGATGAAGGAAATGAAGTCCAGAGATGTTTCCTGACTTACCCAGAGACACGCAGTGAATTGAAGAGCGGAGTCAGCTCAAGAGCACTGCCAGGGGCATGAGCTGATGGGGGGCATGCAGCCCAGAGGCACCACCCCGGGTCTGAGTCCTCCCCACTCCAAGCCAGTGACCTCTGGCAAGTCACATGGCCTCCCTGATTCCATGCTTTGGAGCAGGTGCATAAATACCGGCTTTGTGGGGTCATTATAAAGACTGGAATAAGATGGCACATGTAGCAAGGACTTGAAAGGTATCCACCCTTCCACTTCCTGTGTAATCACCATTGGCAAGCTAATAGCAGAGTTTCTGGCCATGGGCACAGAGCGTCACCAGTGGTTCTCATCTGTGCTGGTATGACAGGAAGACGCCCACTGGACGCATGTGCTGGGAAAGGGCTCGGGCTAGCTGGCTCCCAGATGCAGGTGGTTTGGGTGGAGGTTAAATCACTCTGAGGGCAGGCACGATGTTTCGTGGACAGCACGGCTCTGGCCATGAATCAGAGGGATTCGTGGTGGTTATTCCTGAGACTGGGAAGCAGGACCCTCAAGTTCAAGGGTGTAAAAGGGAACACTTCAGGCCAACAAAGCACTTTCCCTGTAGTCCCTCCCTTGCACAGGCCAAGAACTAGGGTGACCAACAGGGACAGGGCTGGGCCTGACGCCCAGGCACCTAGCCTCACCTGGGGACCTCGAGGGGTCTCAAGGGCTGGAATCCTTCCTGGGACCATAAGCACGATCGCCAAGCACACACATGGCTGTCAACAGAGCATGGAGGGAACGACATGGCGCTGAGTCACTCTGCTGAGTCAGCTCTGTCACTTACTGCCCGAGTAACCCTGGATGAGTCACTCAACTTGGGTTTTAGTTTGCTTATCATGGAACACCAGACCGAACCAGCCACGTGTGAGCCAGTTCCAAGTGCTTTGACAAGAGCTGGGTAGTATTATGATCTTGGTTGTTGTGTGTCAGCACTAGGCTCCACACTGGAAGGGGCCACAGAAGAGACGGGAGACCTGCGAGACCAACAGGGCTAACGGCACGCGGTTAGGAGGGGAACTTCAACCACAGAGTGCAGTGTCTCTCTGCGAACAGTGTTAGGCACCCCACACCCACTTAGGGACGGTTTTCATCTTATTCCCAAGCAGGGGGGCAGGAAGGGGGTAGCGGCATGAATATTTATACATCCTGGCACCCAAAAGGCTAAGTCCCTCGTCCAATGCCCAGAAGTATTTGTGTACTGCACTTGGTCAAGTGCACACAAAAGCCCAGAGTCTGCGGTGGCCGAGGTCACCTGTTTACAGCCAGCTCAACTCAGTGCCTGTTTCCAGTTGCCATTTCCTGAGCACGAAGTTGTGCCAGGTACCAGAGTGGGCTTCTGACCATCCAACGCTTGGGACCCGCCAAGGACATAAATGTTATCATCCGTACATTTCCCAGGAGATGACCCAGGATGCCAGCACATGCCTCAGACATGGGAGCACCAGGATCCGGAGCTGAATCCCCCAGACCCTAAATCCAGTTCTCCATCTACTTGTGTGCAGGGGCTGAGGGTCACTGAAAAGTACTAATGACCTAGCTTCTCAGTGATGTTGTAAGATTCAGAGGGAAAAAGGAACACGAAGAAAAAAAAAAAAAGCCAGGAAGATAGAATTGACGGCAATAAAAATCATCTCTCCCATAGCCACTCTTGGTACCTGATGGGTTCCCTTCACCCCCAGTTATCTCGAGGGCCCTGAGAGTAGATGTTCTTGGAGTAATTTTCAGAGTGTTTACATTGGAAGAAACTTAGGCTCTGAGAGGCCATTTTCTCACCAGGGCCCCACACTGGGAAGTGGCGATGCCAGACCTACGCCGGGTTTGTGATTCCAAAGCCAGCTGAGCACTGGCCTCGTTACACACCCCAGGGGCTACTCGCTCCTGTGTGGGCTGCAGAGGAACCAGGGTAGCTTGGCATTAGTAGGCGACGCCCTCTCCCTTCCGCTGCCACACCAGGGCCTGCCCCTTCCCCTACAGTGTGGGAGGGACGCGGCCTGTTTCTGAGAGGTCCTTCAGAGAAGTGACCCGATGAACTTTCCGTGGCTTCCCTGAGAAATGACCACAAACTCAGTGGCTTAAAACAACACAAACATACTCTCTCATCGTTTCCAGAGTTCAAAGTTCCGGCACGGGTCTCACTGGGCTAAAATCAAGGCGTCAGCTGGCTTTGTTCCCCCTGGAGGCTCCGAGGGAGAAATCTGCCTCCTGCTCACTGGCTGTGACAGAACTGGGCTTCTTGAGGTGGAGGACACAGTTCCCATTTTCTGCCTCTCTGTCAACTGAAGGCCACTCGGAGCTCTGGAGGCCACTGCTGATGGCCTCCTTCCTCTACCATCAGAGCCAGCCTGCTCTGACATGGTCCTCTCCCTCCCACTCACGCTCTGAAGGACTCATGTCCTTACATGGGGCCCACCGGGATAACCCCGAATAATCCCCCTGTCTCAAGAATCTTAACCACATCTGCCAAGTCCCTTTGCCATGGAAGGTAACAGAGTCACAGGTTGTGGGGACTAGGGCGTGGTCATGTAGAGGGGCCATGTTGAGGGTTCTGCCTACCACAGCGGCCTTGTCTGCTATTCATTTCTTCCAAGCAAAGCTTCGTTCCCAATAGCGTCGAGAGCAGAGTTCAAATCCCAGCTCAATCAGCTAGGATCCGTGAAGTCTTGGACAGAATGCATAAACTTTCTGGGCCTCAGTGTCCTCCTCTGTAAAATGGTGACACAGTCATGCTTCCAAACATCAAGTGAGGTGTGGCAATAAAATATTTCAAATCTCTCGGGGCGCCTAGGTGGCTCAGTCGGCTAAACGTCTGACTCTTGGTTTCGGCTCAGGTCTTGAACCTCACAGTTCATGAGTCGGGCTCTGTGTTGATGGTGCGGAGCCTGCTTAAGATTATCTCTCTCCCTCTCTCTCTGTCCCTCCCCTGCTCATGCTCTCTCTCTCTTTCAAAATTAATTAATTAGTTAATTAAAAAGATTTCAAATCTCTTGCTCAGTCTCTGGCTCATCTACTCATTCCCTTTTCCTCTCTAGCTTTGAGAAACACCTGAACACTTACGCATGGGGCCTTTAACCTGAGAGTTCCATTGTAGGGTCCCGGGGGGCCGTGAGTTCCCCAAAATTATATGTGAAACGGTGTGACGCTGTATATCGACGCTTCCTTGGGAGGGGCTCCGTCGCCTTCCTCACCTTCTCAAGATCAGTGCCAGTGGTGTGCTGGCTAAGGTTTAATGATTGCCTTTTGCCGATTTCCATACTGTCAGCAACGCTGCCATAGAGAACCTCAGACCACCAAGTTGACGTCCTGGAGCTCGGGGTTGGGGAAAGACGGCTGTTGGGAACAGGTGTGGGTCACCTCCAGCCTGCCACTGTAGGCGACCCCAGCAGGTCACGGAGCACTGCTTTTGGGAAA